TAAAAAACAAGGAAAGGAACGTGAATTAATCACAGGGCAGGATGTAAGCGGGTTTTTAAAGCAAAAGGCAGAGCCACATGGGTCCCTGGAGTTGCCCGAGCCAAAAATTTTTTTTTTTTTTTTTTTTTTTTTTTTTTAATATGAATAAGCTGCTTAACTTCCCTACACTTTTAAAAGTTTTAAAAGATGGGTAATATTTAACTTCTCCTCCTCCTGCTCCTCCATGCAACATGGGGATTACTTAATTTATAGCGAAGAAAAAGCGGGGATACTGCACTCGGTATCTATCTCAGCACTTGCTATTCTGTTGCAAATTAAATGTTGAGGAAAAGGGTTGCAAAAGAAAAAGCTCACCAGTTTCCTTTCCCTGGAGGATGCTCAGACTTACATGGTTCAAAGAAGCCAGTATCTCAGAAGCTTTTCCTTTCATCACAAACCGTATCAGCACTTACTGTCCTCTCGTGTGCTCTGCTAGTGCCAAAGCTGAGACTCCTTTGACAGGATAAATAATAACGTACACTTTGTGCTGGGTGAGGTGAGAGCGTGACATTTTCAAGAGGATGGAGATACCCCAGATCTCAGAAGTCAAATTGGAAGGATAACCTATTAGATACTAGATTTTTTAATTGGCTATGACACAAATATCACTATTTCGTAATGGAACCTATAATATCAAGATTCTTTTTATGTCTTAAATTAAAAACAACCAAACTAACCATATCCTCAAACTGAGCAATGCTTCCATTAGTGTTTGTGAATACACCACAGCATCCCTGTTCTGTTAGATACAGAAAATGCATTACATAGATGTCTCCCTGCTACAGGGAGTGGTGAATCGAGCAACTTGCAATGTTTGTGTGACTGTCGCATATATAAAAGCCTCATTAAGTCTCCCCTGTGATTGGAGATGGGGTTTGTTTAGAATGGGTTTGTTTGTTTTTGTAACAAAGACAGCAAATACAGGAAATAATTAAATAACTGTGTTTTCATACTCTCCCAATCATCAGGAGCCTATATGAGATTTTAATTAGTGCTGCATTTTCAATAACTCTGTATCCGTACGTGTTGCAGATTCTTTCCTGGATAACAGGGAGATAATTATGAGAATCCTGTTTTTCAGTCTCTCACTAAAGGGATGGCTGATATATTTAATCATGATGTAGAAATGCTGGCAGCTTTCTCGGAGTTCAGCCTCTCTCTAATTACATTTCTAGATTTTTAGTAAATTGAAAGGGAAAACGTAGGAACAAAATAATTAAAACCAAAGAGGAAGCGAATATTAAAAAGCAGGAGCTATTTAAAATTCTTGCACGCAACTCTTTCATGGACATCAGTTTAATCAGCTTCCCATAAAAATCAAACTTACACACACAAAAGTAACACCTCCAAACCTACAGGTCCATTAGCATTTACTGGTTCTTTTCATGCAGAAAAAACAACCTGTCTTGTATCACTCAGGTGCGACTGAGAATTAGACCCAGAGTGAAGGCGTTGGAGGGTTTGGTGCTCTCACATGCACAGTAGTGTCAAAACACACACACATCAGCATATCCCCATGAAAGTTTTCAAGGTTCAAGCAGTACCTACACCTAGGAATTGTCCAATAATTTTATTGCAGGATTTTATTAAAGACAGAAGGTGGTAGGCTTTGTGAAGAGTAAGTGACAGTATTTCACTTCTATCTGCCACCGAGGAGGGCAGAATTGACTCTAAATAACTTTTTCATATGGAGAAGAGGTGAAATTCGATCTTCATTTTCACAGATACCCAATTTAATTTTCCCCTTCCTGGGAACAAGAGAATTTTGATCAGGAGAACGTCATAAACTGCAGAAGAGGTTGACCTCCCCACTGCTAAGCAACACACGGCCAGTGTTGAATTAAAGCAGACATTTCTGTTCATTCTGTCTAGAAAACCCTTGTATCAAGAGCCCGCAGCCTCAGAGCTCTAAGGAAAGAATCTCTTTGTTTTCTCTAAAACTGGTGCTGTAATTTCCTTTTCTAATTCACTACAAGAGAATAAATACATCAGTGAAAATCCACAGTTTATATCAGGAATATAAAATCCAGGATAATGGATAGGGTAAGAAAATAAGCTTCTAGGTGAAATGTGTAGCCAGAAGAGGAATGCTAATACCAATTCCCTACTTCCCAAGGGGCAGTTTTATGGCATTTCTTCATTACAATGCAGCATTACCTGCTGTTTTGTCACCATGGGCAGCAGTTTGTGAAATAAAGGAACGAAGCAGGGTCCAAGAATTGGTCATGACTTGGATGAGATACTTGCCAGGAAAACCCAGGGCACTGCAGAAAATCTTAGCAATAAAACAGGCAATATTCTCCGAGTCGGTAGCGGACAAACGTGGCAGCTTAGTACACGGGACCAATTGTGCTACAAGGAGCAGCACTCTTCATCTGAGAGAACGAGATAAAAAGACTTTGCGTCTTTCATTTAAATAAGTGTAGCTGTGATATGTATTGTGTGACCTGGCTAATTTGGTTATTGAGGTGCTGTGTGTGTAATTTTATTAATTCACTATAACATGAGACTGAAACCGGGCAGGAAAGAAAGACTAGCTCTGGATAAACTTCTCTACAAACATTTAAGTAACTAAAGACCACTAACAAGAAGAATTTGGCTTCCTCTGGTTGCAAACCATTACAAATTAGAAGAGAAAACCCATATGTAGATGGGATCTCAGATCACAGGATAATTTGGGTTGGAAGGGACTTCAGGACATCCATCTGGTCCAACCTGCTCAAAGCAGGGTCACTTATGAGACACAATAAGGTTACTCAGAGCTTTATTTAGTCTCCCAGGGCAACCTGTCCACATTCTCATCTATGCTCATGATGAAAAGATTTCTTATATCTAGGCTAAATCTCTCGTTTTTACTTTTGTTTCTCCTCCTTCTGCCATGTACCACTGTGAGGTATGATGATGATTCCACCACTTCCCCGGGCAGCCTGTTCTAGGGTTTGATAACCCTTTTGGTGAAGGAATTTTCCCCAATATCCATCCTAAACCTCTCCTATCACAACTTGACACCATTTCATCTTGTCCCATCGCCTGTTCCTTGGGAGAAGAGACTGACCCCCCCGGATACACCCTCCTTTCAGGGAGTCATAGAGAGCAATAAGGTCTCCCCTCAGCCTCCTTTTCTCCAGGCTGAACACCCCCAGCTCCCTCAGCCACTCCTCACAAGACTTGTGCTCCAGACCCCTCACCCTTGCTAGATACCCCCTTGTAGGTACTGAAAGGTCTCTAAAGTCTCCTTTTAACTTTCCATCTAGACCCCTGAATGACAGGCATAAGACACATTTGCCTTATAATCCTACTCTCAGAAGGCTAAAATAAATGGTGTACCTTAAGAAAAACTCACCAATCACTCTCAAACTTGGCAATAAATCCTCATTGTACGCGCTGTGGGGAGCTGTTCTCCTCGTGCACTGTGGACGCATGTACTGAAGTGACCCAAGACCCAGCTTGAAGTGAGAGAAGGGGGAAGAACTGTTTGTGTTTTCACTGCATGACTGTACACCCATCCCTCAGACGAGCAGGGTGAAACCAGGCCACGCCAGGAGTCCAAGAGAAACATACACCCTCCTCTCCCCCTTAATGCTTCCTCCTTGAGTGAGGAGATTGAACGCAAAGCCCTCCGCCCTCACACACCACCGGAGAGAAGCGGCCTCGGAGACAGCCGCCCACCCTTCCCTCAGCTCCCCCACAGAAGCTGTGAGGGAAACGGAGGGCGGCGCGCGCCACCTCGCTCGATGCCTTTCCCGCCTTTTCCCCCGCCCTCCCTCGCGCCCCGC